TTCATTTTTTTGAAAATTTTGGCCCGTTTGACCTTGAAATAAAGGTCAAAGGTCAAATCCAAGGGCATATTTGAAATCTACACATATGACTTTTGGAAAGCTGTCTGTAGAAATTTTTCCCATAACTCCTTCCGTAGGGTAGATAATTAGCATTTAATTTTGCCATTTTTAGACAAGGGTGCATTGCAATGAGTGCCACACCTAGACCCCAATACCGACAAAGCCCAAATTTTACGTGGAACGAGTTGAGATTATAGGTGACCTAAATCCAAGAGATGGGTACAGGGGCCCTTACCGTCTAGGAGGAGAAGCGGTAACGGTGACTTGGCGGCGGAGCCGCAGGAGCCGGCGGAGCCGGCGGAACATACGGGTCGGGACTAAAACCATGGGTACCGCCAGCGCCTACGCTGGTGGTACAATAATGATTTATGTGCCCCTTACTGTCATAAGGCCCACATCCCAAAGGCACCAAGATGTCAAATAACCTTCTCATCTATTTGGACTTTGCAATATGCCAAACTGATTACACATTGGAAAAATGGCATTATAACTTGGTTATCTTAACTGTGGGTGGACACTTCCATCTTTTGTTCATATATTTAACCTACTAGTAGAACTGTACCTTACTTACCTCATGTGATGGATTTCTTATAGGTTTATCGAAACCTGCAGTCAAATCTTCCCCTCTTCAGCTGTCAGATCAACAGGTGAATGTCCCAGATTCCTTCCAGTTTCCATTTGAACCATATACCATCCAGCTCGCCTTCATGAAGGAGTTGTACACAACTCTGGAGCTTGGCAAGATAGGGATATTTGAGAGCCCCACTGGCACGGTAGGAACTATAGTCTATAGTCCTCCCATTGGATTTTTTTCTATTATTTTGCATTTTCTGACATTACCAGTAATGTAGAGGAATTATTGTTTTTTAAGTATATTTTTAATGTTAAAAAGATTCTTACAATATTTGCCATGAAAAATATTAACTAGCTGTCACTATTAAAAAAATCCCAATCATTTTGTTGTGTTGTTCTTTTTCACTCATTTTTCTGTTCAGGGTAAATCTTTGAGTTTGATCTGTGGTGCACTTACTTGGCTGAGAGACTTTGAGGAGAAGCAGCGCAGAGAGCTGGAGGTCCTGTTAGCAGAGGAAGAGGAAGAAAAGAATGCTGAACAGTCTGGAAACAAACAGATCTCAAAAGATTCAGGTGAAGTATTTTATAAATGTGTTTGAACCAAGAATAATTATATCTATTTATGAAATTCTTAATTTTCAGTTCTAGTACATCATATCGTGTTCCAAAATTAAATATTTGTTGTGTCCTGACTTAGATTTTTACTTAAATTGAATGTTTACAGTACTTGTAATTATTATTAATATGATTACTTAAGAGCTAGACTGGATAACAGCTTTTGCCAAGAAACAAGAAGAGGATGAGTCAAAAAAGAAAGTGAAGGTAATTTTAGATATTTGGAATAACAAATATTTTACTAAGTATCTTATAGAATATTTATAATTATTATTATTATTTGCTTTTGTTGAAATAAATGAAAAGAGAAGGCAACAGGGATTCATATTTTTGTTTCTACTTACTCAGGAAGAGAGAGAGAAGAGACTGAAACGTGAAGCCAAGCTTGAAGAAATCAGGAATAATGTAAGGAGGACACAGTCAAACAAGCGGAAAGTAAGTTGATCAGCAACCAGAGGTTGATGTGGATGAAGCTCCATAGCCTGATGGCTATTTGATACTTTGAAAATTTCTTTTTAATCACATGGAATAACACCAAACTTTATTAAGATATCCCAGGGGTGCCTGGAAAGATATGAAGTGAAGGAGGACATTTTTTTAGTCCAGACCTGTTTTACTTATGGCCATGTGACTGATTTATATATGAATATATCTGATACAAATACATGCACCACTACCTAACTTCTGCTTATATTATGACATGAATTATTAGGTTTGTTATGAAATTGTTATTTTCTGTTAAAATCTTGGTGTTATTCAATCATTGAGCACATCAGTTGGTTGATTTAGTTTGCAGTTTGTTCATTTATGAAAACGCTTTCAAAAAACTGGAAACAACTTTTTCAGAGAGACCTGCTAGAGGAGAAATTTGACTATTTATTCCAAGGTGCCTCTGATGACCTGAGGGAGCAGTTCCAGAAGGAAATGAACTCGGAGAAAACAGGCACCAGCACAGAAGAGGAGGATGAGGAAGAGGATGAGAAGATAGTAGTGAGTGAGTACCACAGTGACGAGGAGGCAGGAAGAGGAGATGAGGATACAGAGGAGGAGGAGGATAAAGATGAGGATGAGCATGTGACAAAAGTAAGGTTGAAATCAAAAGCTTTACAATACTGTGTGTACTTTACACTTCTTCAGCTGAGAATATGTCATTGTCATTTTAGCAGGTGGTGACATAACATTACTGTTGATATGCATTTACCTATCAGTAAGTTACTCTACCTTCTCTGAATGACTTTCAGATAAAATTGTAATCCCCTTACTGTAAATCTTTCATTTTACCTGAGAAAAAACATGACTCACTTAATTTTTTTCCATTTCAGATTTACTTTTGCAGCAGAACCCACTCCCAGCTGTCACAGTTTCTACATGAGGTTCAGAAGAGTCCATTCCAGAGTGACATTAGGGCAGTGGCTCTGGGCTCTAGACAAGTAAGTTATCATGGACTGTTCCTCTCAGGAACTTCTTCGGCATTAGTAAAACACTGACCAATATTTGATATATATATGTTTTGCCCAGCATAGAAAAATAACTTTTGCATTTATCAAAGATATATCTGGACATAATGCATATTTTAAATGTAATTGGCTTCATTCTCATCTAAAACATGACAGAGTCTAGTAATTATTGCATTTCATTTTTTGTAATTGTCAATGAATAGAGATAAAGTTCACATTAATTATATACCTGTCTTCAAGTAGTTATAGATTGCACATACACATTTTGACTTATCTATGGCATGTTTTTAAACTGAATATAAGCAGATAATTATATATATACAGTAACATGTATATTTCTCAGAATTTGTGCATCAATAAAGTGGTGAGAAAACTCCACTCCCTCAGCTTGATGAATGATCGCTGTTTGGAGATGCAGAAAAATAAGAAAGGTTGGAGAACAGTTACCTTACAATAAGATGTCCAAAATTTGAACATATTGTGATCTTAACATGACATGATTTTATTATAACATTATTTATGGTGACAAGTTTCTTCAAAGTTTTTTTTTAACCTCCAATGTTTATGTGAGTAACTAATTTATATAAAATATTTGTGGTTATAAGTACCAAAGAATTCAAACTATATAAATCAAAAATACTTCATTGAAAAATTAATACAATTTAGGGAATTTTCAAGATTATGCATAAATGGGACAGTTTGATTTTCAAGGACTGTTTCACAAAGGAAAAAAAAACAGACAGACAGACAAATATAAAGTTAAAAAGAGCTCCAATGAACTTACAGCTAATATTTGGAATTGATAAGCAGTATGTGTCTAGCATCAAGTCAGAAATAAAATCATGCTCTTTGTCAACGCTCTGTTTTACAGAACCACGTGCAAAAGATGGAGAGGCTAAACCAAAAAGGAAAAAGAATTTATCTGGTAGTTGCCCATTCTACAAACAGGAAAATATGCTGGACTTGAGAGACAAGACTTTGGTGAGTTTTCCAGCAGAACAATTTCATTTATTAAGTAAGTTTATTAGTCGTTAAAAATGAGAAACAGGTGAACTTCTTAAAGTTTACATTCTGAACAAGATGCAATGTATTATCTGAATAGAGAATAAAACAATTTATTTTAGTATTTCCAAATGTTCTTATTAGTCAGAAGTACAGGATATAGAAGAGCTGGTGAGTGCTGGGAAGCAGCTGAAGGCGTGTCCTTACTATGGAACTAGATATGCCATTCCAGCAGCACAGGTAGTAGAACAGTTGATATTGTCTTCTTAAAAGTTCACTTTGATCCTAAGACTATGGGTTTTTTTTTTTGTTTTTTTTTTTTGGTTGGCACAGATATTACTATATACTTTGTTAGACTCACATCTCAAATGGTAATGTTTTTGAATATTAAATTCATTCACTTACATTCCTCTGGAACTTGAAAGTATAAAGTAAAAAACTAATACTGTTGTCTGTTCCTGTAGTGAGATAGTACCTGTATCCTAAACCTCTCTTCTCTGGGTCCACCAGGGATAGGTGTCAACCTTAGGTTTCAGGTTGCTTTGTAACTATATGTTACTGTACGTGCATGTAATGTTTGTGATTAGCATTTAGTAGTTATTGGTGCTGTTAGATTAGATGCAGCTAGTGGAACATTACTAGTGCTCATATTGTTATATTCCAGCTGGTAGCGTTGTCCTACAAAGCACCACTCCACAATCCTGAGGGATATCTGGTACTAAGTTTGATATCATGCTTCTATACACTTCGCAATGTTTAATAATCATTCCAGCTTGTAGTTTTGCCCTACAATACACTCCTTCACAAGTCTACCAGGGAGGCGTGTGGAATCAAGCTGACAGGGAATATTGTCATCATAGATGAAGCCCACAACTTGTTGGAGACTATCAACAATGTGTACAGCACAGAGGTCACAGGGTCACAGGTACTGGTAACATGGCCATATTTATTGTGTCTTCAAACGGTTACTTATTTCTGTTCAGCATCTGGAGTCGATTGTCTTAATTTGTGAATAAATTAATTTTAAATTTATCAGAAGGCAAGAAAATTTTATGGATAAAGTTGACTTTGTATTCATTATCTGGTGGACTAGATTACCCTAAATCAAAGACTGGTTGTGTGCAGATGTTTTTACTCTCAAACATTCTACTTTTGATTCAGTTTGGTTATATTAGTGACTTATTAATCATTGCACTGGTACATTTACCATAAAAATGTCATTTGTTTATTGTAAAATCTCATGTGATATATGATTAATTTACTTCTAATTTCAACAGCCGTAGATGCCTTCTCTTGGTCACTCATGTATGATCATGGTTAAATTCATTCCAGTTAACCCGTGCCCACTCCCAGCTGTGCCAGTACCAGTCTCGTTACCAATCCCGTCTCAAGGCTAAGAACCTTATGTACATCAAACAGATCCTGCACATACTGTCAGCTTGTATTAAATACCTGGGAGGTAAGACAGGGTGAATAGTGTGTGTGTGTGTGTGTGTGTGTGTGTGTGTGTGTGTGTGTGTGTGTGTTTGTTTGTTTGTTTGTTTGTTTGTTTGTTTGTTTGTTTTTTGGGGGGAGGGGTGTTGTATAAAATACTTTGGATGAAAATCTTGTGAACAGTAGGTAGGGGGTGCGTGCGTGTCCAAAGCTAAAACACTGATATAAAGTACCTCTTTTGATTCATATGGTTTCCCGGTATTCTATGCTGAGTAAGTTAAATATATTTCACTGTGAGTTAAAATTATGAACATGCTCATAAATAACGCCAGCCTTTGTCATACTATTATCACTGACATGTGACATATTTTTGTGTTATATCACCTGTTAGGCCAGACTGGTATCCCAGCAGAGAGCCAGCACTCCAGACTTATGGATACCAAGCTACAGAGTATAAATGACTTCTTGTTCAGTTCCAAGCTGGACAACCTCAACCTCTTCAAAGTGCTCAAATACTGTGAGAAAAGCCAGATATCAAAAAAGGTATGTATTAATGGTATAACATGTTTATACAGACTTTGCAAACTTGTTGTGTTCAGTATATTATTTATTTACCTATTGCTGTATGTGAGACCATTGGATGTGGATTCCTAAATTGTAATTATATGGTGGCTGAGTGTACTACATGTGGCTAAACAGTAACATATAAAATTTTGGCTATTATCAATTTAGATCATTAACTCCTACCCATTTGCCTCAAGAAGTATTTTATGAATTGTTGTTTGAATTGAAATTATAACAATTGCATTCATTTTTTTTTCATTATAATTATAAATATTTTCCAGTTGCATGGGTTTGTGGAAAAGTACCAACCAGTTTTTGTCAAACCAGGTAAAGAATATTTGCATGTCATTTTTCACGTGTTCATTAGCTTACATTCTTGTTTGGTGGACTATTTGATCCAGGCATTTATCTTCTTTTGTTATAATTATATTATCATTTACTTAATTTTGAGGTTTTAAGATTATAAAACAAATCAATTTTTAATTAAAATTTTCAGTTGAAGAAAAACCTAAAGAATCTTCCTTGACCAAATTTTTGAAGGAAATCCAAACCAAAAGTGCAAGCAGAGAAACACCAGTAGAAGGTGAGGCATATTGTGTCATAAAGTTTCTGTTATTTTGGATGAGTGAACTACAACTTTATACATGCTGCATTGACCTTTTAATATGTGGAATGGCTTTAATTCAACAGTAAGTTTTTTTTTTTAATCCATCTACTTCTTATGATAATCTTAGTGTATTATTTTGAATTGTTTGAAAGTAGATATTAGGTTTAAGTTACAACTTCCATTGTATGGATTTAATTTCCAATTTTGATATTTTGTAAGAGTTTTTTTTTTAATTTTTGGAAGACATTTTAAGATTTTAATTAAATGTTACATCATAAAGAAACTTTTGATATTATAATAAATTGTAATTTCAGCAACATTGTAGATATCACATTTACTGCCAATGTAAACATTTTTATCACACTCCAAATTTAATATTTCTAACAAGTTTCAATGATTCAGAACCACTTAACCTATTACAGTTTTTTTTCCCTCATAATCAAACCTATACCTTAGAGATAAACAATAAATTATGAAGTAAAAGGAAATTGTGCTAACTTATTACTCTGCATCTGTGTAGAAAGCTCTAGTGGTCCAGACCACCCCCCACAGTCCCCTGCCACTCTGACATCCCCCCTGATGCACATCGAGGGGTTTCTGGCTGCACTGACCACAGCAGACAAGGACGGGAGGATTGTTGTTAACAGGCAGAGTGAGGATAAGTTTTTTCTACTAATTATGCTAAATGTTTTTAATGAACTTTAAGCTTCATATTCCAACAACCCATGCATTGTCATAATAATACATGTAATTTTGATTTAAAATGTTTTGTATTTTGTAGTAATAGCTAAAAACCAAAAATTTTGAATTTTTGGAAAAATTGCCAGTGATAATGTACCTCTGAACAAAATCACAGTGCTTTTGTATTTACCAAATTTTTTGTTATATAAACTTTTCCAATAACATATTTCACAAAATAATGATTTCTTGTAGCTCATTCTTGGTATTTGCATCTTAATAAGTGACACAGATCAGATTAGCAAACAAAATAAACAAAACTAAAAAACAGACATAAATTTAGGAAATGTTTGATCTGCAGGTGTATTGAGTCAGTCCAGTTTGAAATTCCTCCTGCTCAACCCAGCTGTCCATTTCTCCAGTGTGGTCAGTGAGGCCAGGGCAGTCATAGTGGCTGGAGGAACCATGAAACCAGTGAGTAGGAGTTCATGAGACGGACTGGTTAGGATGCAGTGTGTGAGAGAGAGAGAGAGAGAGAGAGAGAGAGAGAGAGAGAGAGAGAGAGAGAGAGAGAGAGAGAGAGAGAATCTTATGAATAAATAGAATAAACTAGGCAGTATTTTTAAATTTTTAATTACTTTAATTATTCTTATTTATAATTATATTACCTGTACTGAAATTTATGCATATTATAATTTGTAATGTCAATTACCCTTTCTTTTGAATTTTCATAGTTTTCTACTTTTATTTATGAAGAAATGCAGATTCAGGATTATTGTTAGATGAGATCAGTTCATCTGAGTTTGTTATTTAATGAGAGAGAGAGAAATTTAGTAGAGCAATGAGCATTGTACTTTATAAATTGGAAATATTTGGTAAGTCTATGAATCTTTATTTGTGGAATGATGTGCTTTGACACAAACCTCAATGTTTCCTCCAGATCTCAGAGTTTGAAGACCAGCTGTTCAGGGCAGCAGGTGCCCCTGCAGATAGGATTCACAGTTTCTCTTGTGGTCAGTTGAAGTATAGATTAGAAGTGGTCTTTATCAATACGAGAACAGTGAAGATAACAGCTTGACAACTTAATAATATCTTTATACACCTGATTAAAATTATCAAAAGGTTTTCAACTTTATCTTATATTTGATCCGGATGATGGTTGTAATTTGTAGACTGGAAGCTAATTATTATTTAAAAATTTCCATAAAGTCAGACTGGAGGGAGATACCATGAAATGCAGTCACCCCCACCTAACATTAGCCTAGCTTAATTGTACCTTAAATTTATTTATAGACTATTTTACACAGTGTTGTTTATTTTCCTCCTCAGGTCACATCGTCCCATCTGACCAATTACTGCCCATAGCCTTGGCCCAAGGACCCTCTGGACACAAACTGGATTTTACATACCAGAGCAGGGACCAGCCTAAAATGGTAGGTTGTATTCTGATATATTCCAGTGGGATTACCTGGGATTTACTCTGTGGGAATAAGATGAGAAAAAAGATGATGTCTGCACTGTATGCATACAAGTAGTATTTTTAAAGTGCATTTTGGAGGGGGGGTATGCTGCTTTTTGTAGACTCACTCTCGTTATTTTTCAAAGATTGAGTTTCAGACCTCTGCAGAAAATGGCTATTAGATGTGTTAGGTGAGCATGTAGAAGGCGTTTAGTGTGACTACATTGAATGACCTTGGTGGAATTAAACAAAATGTGTTAGATGTGACAGTAGTGAATATTTGCTACAACTACATTAAATGTTTTAACTGTGACTGTATTGTTTGTGTTGACCACTATAGACCCTTTTTTGTCTTGCCTGCCACTGTCATACGAAGTGCTAAGATAGCAGTGTACTTGATTAAACTGCACTGTGTGCTTCAATGGAAATTTCCACTTGGTCCCTGGATCAATTCTGAATGGGGAAACAAACTACCCGCTAGCTGTGGTTTCACTTCTGAAGGAATCAAAACAGGACTGGGTCATAACATCTGTGATTGAACACTCAGATGACAGGATTTCTTTACACCTTTTTGTTTTATGAAAAGCTGAGTGTATTTCAGGTATTCAAATCCTGAAATTGAACAATTTGTATAGTTCACGTGTATGGGAGAACATACTTTGTACTTAAGTTGAAAAAGGGAAGAGATCATAGTAATGCACAATAACCCATTTTCTTCACTTAATAGTACCAAACTATATTTTTGTTTTACTTCATATTTGAGTGACTTTGTATTCTAATAAGGTAGCTTTCTTTTGAAAGTAAATTTGATTGGATTATTTTAACAAAAGATATTGATTTTTTTTCTAATATTTTATCACCGTTTACCTCATAAGTTCCAAACCTATTTCTATTTCACTAACGTTTGTTCAGTGGCTTTGTTTAGTAAAAAAAAAAAAAAAAAGAAAAAAAAAAGAACAGGTTTCTTTTGAAAATGGACACAATCATTTAGGTAAATAACCTAAATGATTGTGTCCATTTTCAAAAGAAACCTTCATTCTGTCTTTATTTTCCTTTTTTTCTAAGCATTGGTGCACTGTTTTTTTATCATTTTTAAACTTATCTATTTGGCTGTTTGGTATCTGTATTTTTGCCAGCTTTGCTGTCTAGTATTCTGATGTGACAGAGCAGACATGTTAATGAAAACAAAAAAGGTACTGAAATGATGAAAAGTGTATTTTTTAACATAATGTTGTTTGCACTTAATACTTAACAGTATTTTTCATGGGGAGATCTTTTTATGTACAGACACAGATGTGTTATATTTTGCTATAAAACTTGCTGAACTGATTCATAGCACTAATGTTCAGATCAAGTTCGAATATTATCAGGATCAATTTGGTTTTGATTAAATTACGTTAAATTGTTACTTGAAGTGCATAATTAAATATTAGTGGTGATTATGCTGTTAATCAGTATGTCATATTGCACTGAAATTGAAGAAACCCCTATTTGGGGCAATGCCGTCATAGTGACCATCTAAGGAAAACCAAGCCATTTACTACTCTCAAACTTACAGAATAAAAACAAAGGACTAAAGTACAGCTTCAGTTGGCAAATCAGTCTGATTGGTTTGTTTTTCTGGAAGTATTATAGTTTTTCTGTGCATTTTCAATTTTTCACATATTGGCATTTTTAAGGTGTGACTTTGTACTTCCATGGGCTTGAAGACCTTTGCTAGTCACGTTTTCTGAATATCCATGATACTGATATTTTATTTTTGAAATTGATGGTCAAAATTTAATAAAACCATATTTTAGGCACTGCTGCCATAATGACCATTGAAGGCAAACCATCTTACTTACAATTCTCAAACTTAATGAAAAGATTCATAGGACTGAAATGAAAACCAGTATAATTGAATTCTCCTCTGGAAGCAATGCAGTACTTAATGAAATTTTCATTTTTCACGTTATGGCATAGAACTCTCATGGACATGAAGCAGAATGGTAATCAAGTTTTCTGAATATCCATGTAATGTATAGTAGATAATTAAAAATTGGTTCTGATTATGCTGTTAATCAGTATGTAATATTGCATCAAAGTGGACAAAAAAAAACAGCTTTGTGCACTGCCACCACAAAAGTTATGCAAAGAAAGCTGTGGTACTTATTGTTTTGTAACTTGCAAGGATGATTCCTAGGATTAACATACAGCTCAAATTGGAAAACCAGCTCAATTGGATTATCAATTTTTCTTGAATTAATGCAATTTATTTGTGAAATTTTCATTTTCTCATTCTGGCATATTCAAAGTGTGAAGTTGAATTCTCATGCTAGCTTTATGCTAGTTACACATTTTACTAACATCTGTATTACCTGTTGTGCATAATTAAAAGTTGGTGTTGACTTTGCTGTTAAGCGTAATGTATTATTACATCAGAATTGACAATAGCCTATTTTGTGCATCATTATTTTCTGCTTTTTGTCTGTACATTTGACAGCACTGCTGCATTTTTTTCTAGCCATCATGATATGAAATGATTACCAGCTAGATTTTGTATTCTTAAGTAAGAAAAATTGAGTAGGTAAAATGTGGGACACAGATTACATATTATGTGGTATGTGGCTTTCCTGAGTACAACAGCTGGCAAACACAACCATCGTAAACATCATGTCTGACTTCATCTATCCTCCCTGCTGTTCAGCTGTTCATGGTTATTAATGCTAGCTTAGGTACGCAAAGGTTGGGGACGGAATGTGAAAAGTGCAAAAAGGGTTTGAAATGGAAAGCTGGGAGTGCGCAGAGGTTGTTGCTAGTGCTGTAACAGTGCGCAGAGGTCACAGACAGAGACGTTAGACTGTTGTTTTTTTTAAATACAGGGAGGTGACATAAGTGATCATTACAATTAAAATAATAAATATCTTTGACTTGTTAGTGTTTAGTTGCATGTGAAACAGGAAATAACTGAATATAAAAATAAATATGTCTTCATTACAGTTTAATCAGGCCCATAGCCAGGGGGATGCAGGCGGTTTGAAGGAACAGCCCTTTTTGCTGGGGAAAAGGTCCGCTCTGGGTAAAGTTTGATTATGTGAAGGTTTCCTGGTGAAAGGCCCACTTTTTCAAAAAAAGAACCCTCTTCCCCTTGAAATTGCTGCATGGCTACGGGCCTGTTAATATATGTCATTGACTTAATTGTTAGTGTTCAGTTGCCTGTGAAACAAAAAAAAAAAAAAACTGAATTTATGTCTTCCTGAAATGTAGCACAGATCATCAGTTTGTTGGGTTTAAACGATGGAAGTTAAGGAGTAAGGACCCTTCACCCTCTTCACTGTGGAGCTGTGGTATTTCCCCATTACAGTAACTTTTATCATTAGGTTATTCTATAATTACTTTTATGCACTCTTGCAAAAAGAGTGCAAAAAGATCATCCATGGCTTGGCAGGGATGTCCCATCAAAGTCATTGGTGTGTGCTTACAGTGCAGAAAGGGTAGAGTATTCCATATTTACAATCAGCTGTTACCTAATGCCTATAGTGGTTGACTGTGTGTATATTGTATATATCAATGCAGATATGATATTGTTTATAGGGACTTGTTATATTCAAAGGGTTTCTGTTCAGTGTGTTGATGATCATGCAGTTTGTTTTTAACCAATTTCATCTTTTAGAAGCCTCTTTCATAATATCAGGAGAAAATGACTTAATCCTCATTTCCTTTCAAACTTTATGTTGCTTTATTATTCATGTATTATTTGTAGTTCATTAAGTCGACAGTAAAATGTGTATAATACTCTCCCCTCAACCCACAAGGAGATGACAAGAGGGATCCTGTATTTTGAACTTGTGACAAATATCCAGAATGTCTGTATAATCCTAGGTCACAATTTGTAGGTTTTTCATCATACTGTAATTTAGTCACAGTCCCTTTATATCTTTCATTTTAATTATCTTGTTTCTTTTTCATGTTTGCACTCCCATGATAATTTTCCCCACAGTTGTGCCATTCCCAACATTTGATTTTTTCATTACTTCTAACCCCTGTAAAACAACTGCATGACATCAAGCACTCATGTAAGGAACAATTTGGCAGCAGACTGTAAAGGGGTTACAAAGTGGAAAAATACTGAGAAATGTGCATTGAACAGGTAGCAGATAAAGGCTGCAAGAGTGGAGATTTCCTACTAGGCTAGTCAGCTGACATTTAGACGGTGTTGTGAAGGATGTGGTCAGATTGATTAATCGAGCAAGTTCACTCCATTTTTTTATGTGATGGGGGAGTCAGGTGGCATGCATATATAGTACTGCCGTACTCTTAATAAGTTCACAGTACTTTCTAGTTTCAGATCATATCAGGCGTGACGTTCTCAGTGTTATTATAATATTATACATAATCAGGTCAGTCTGACATCAGGATGTCAAAAATTGGTTTGAAGTAAAGGATTGTTTTATAGTCACTGAAGTTAGTCTGTCAGTGAAGACTTTAATATCACTCTTTCTGATGATTACAGTACAATTTTAATCATGAATATAGCATGGTTAATATCAAAGGTACAAGATGAATTTTCTCAATGTTTTTGCTCTTATCATTTTTTTTATTTTGAAGGGAGGGGCAGATATCTGCTACATACCGGGTAGTTTTGCATAAATGGACAGCAACAGTAAAAACTACAGGTTGTATGTCTGTGAGTGGGTGTGCATACATATGTTTTAAAATTGGTCAGATCTTGAAATTACTGTTTTATAGTTGTAAGTCAAAATGAACTCCATGGCATTGGAAATAAGCCCCTTGTGTACAATTTTAAGTTCATGCTTATCCCATTTTCATTATTTATTTGTCCTTTTCTAATCAGAACAATTTTTCAGATTGATATCTGTACTTTGGCCATAGAGTACATCAGCACTTTGATTTTCTGCATCCTTAGGCTCAGACAAAGAGTCTCAGAAGAAAACTGGGATCAGAAATGAGCCTGTTCATTCTGCATTATCGGGTAGATGTAGTGCATGTAGAAGGCATTATTCATCTAAAGCCGCAGTCAATAGATCTTATGTTATTACATCTCTAAATGGAGCCATTAGTTCTGCAAGATGATGGCATTTGTGGAGGCAGTCAGCTGTTAATGATTCTCTGACAATTAATTTGATGAGTGTGTGGAGAGTTGGTTAGCAAGGGTTTTGTTGTGGATGTCTGGTTTTAACAGACTGCTGCTGCATATATTTTTTTTTTGTCACAAAAATAGATTCTACAGCAGAAAATAGCAGCTTGATGCAATACCTACATTGTGTAAGGTTGAAATGGGGTATCTTCCTCCAGTAATTAATTTTCTTTTTGAGTGTTCAAATACAGAACAGAATTAATTGACCATGTGACAGATGGGGATTGGAGGGGATGTAACGTATAGGTGAAGATTCATCCAAGAAACTTATTGATCACAATTTTATAGTTTGGACTGAAGTACTCATTACAAAATGTGCAAAGAATAATCTTTTTTCTGTTCACCTGTTTTATACTAAANTTACAGTACTCTATTAGATGCTAAGCTTTGCCAAAAGTTTCCTTAATTTTTTATTCCAAGATTTTTCATTAAGAGAAACGATAATCAGCACCAATAGGTCAGACAAACGCTGCAAACCTAATAAAAGCCATGAACGCAATCAGTGCACTCAGTAATAAGCTTTATCGCAGTCCTCTCAACAACCAAATTATAACGATAGTTCCTAGACCGAAACAGCAAAGTACGTCAATAGCCCTGATAGAATATCAGCGCTCAACTGACGACATTTTCACCCAAAACTAATGTATTTTAATGATAAAGCTTACGTGCCTCCCAAGAGACATGGCCTTGTTAGGTGAAATCTATTTCCTCGGAGGCCGCTTGGGGGCGATTAAGTAGGCTTCCTTGCTTTAGAAAAAATAATTAGGTTTAAAGGGCGGGACTATAAAATCGCAATTTGTCTTTGGGTTTCGTTAAAGGGTATTCTGATCGTCCATTCGTGTCAGCTGTTTTATTATCCGCTCTTGCACTGTATGACCTTCGGAAATATTTCGGCAAAACAGTCAGTTCCGTTATTATTTTGTTATATGACTTTAAATATCCTGTTTCGGTAACCCTGGCTGTATTTCAGAGACAATTGTAAACGTCAGTGTGTGCCTAGTACTGTTTTTAATAACTGAAACGGTGGCGGAAATCACAGAGAGGGAAACCATCGGAAATCGGGATGGTTTTGGTTAATTTTCTTCTTTAATCTAAACCGAACGAGTGAAGTAATGCTGAAAGAGACCTGGTATAATCTGTTTTTAATGATGGAATATTCCAAAACATGGATCAACACATATGCCAATATGCGTACCAAGTTACTCAATCCCTTGTTACCTGTGTGATAGTCACATATGTGAAAGATTGGCCTTTTTCACACCAAACAATGTGATTGAGTAATATCGGATCCTTGGCTGTGTGTTTATTAAATGAAAAATAAAATGCAGGATTAAAAAAATTGCTAAATTTATTTTTACATATTTGGATGAACATGTTATGACATATGAATATTTACATGTATTAACCTACGCGACCATGAAATGACATTGTTTCCCGTATCTGTATTCTGGGCGTCTAAATACTAATCGATAGTTAGGAACATTTTGTCTTGTGTGCTATCCAATTTATTTTCTGATATGGTTCTGAAAGGATTAAGACTTCACTGCCATTTTATAGAATAATTGACAGTTAATCGTTTTGAAGATGCTAAATTTGTACAATGTTTATCAATTAGCAAATAATCGCCTAAAGTGACTTTAACTCTCAAGAAAGGTTTTTATGTTTTTGACGGAACTAATGCAATTCCGTCGAAATTCCTTTAACGGTCTGTCAATTAATGGCTTCATATCACATTTCATGTAGTAAGATTTATCACTCATCATTTCCAGGCCGATTTCCAGGATTTAGTGCTCCGGGTGATGCCGTGTTGCCAGTGGTCGCCATGTTGTAAGAAAAAGTACAAGCTGGGATACATGATGCAAGCAAGCATGAAATTCACTGACAAATTTAGCCGACAAATGAGCAAGGAAAGTCGGAAAAACAGTTGCCAATCCCTGAGCCAGGACTCAACAAAAGAAAGTATGTTACGGGCCCAGAAGGCCTCTTTATCCTCCTCGTCGTCATCGCGCAGGTCCCAGTCATCCTCTTACAAACAAAATGGCTACAATGCGCGCAGAGATAAAGAAAGCGAACCAGACGTTATAGTCAAGCTGCTACCATCTAATGGACGAGTCAGTGAGCAGGCAGTATGACGTTGAATCGCATACTTTGGGAGGGGGATCTTGTGATGAAGTATCTTTAGCTAGATAGTTTTTACCTAAAAATCACTGCAGCGTGCTTTAAGAGACGCGCCATGCAGAAGCATTGCAACATGTAACTTAAAAAGTGTTCATGTCAAAAGGGGGCTCTGTTAAAACTCCGTTTATAAATAATGACTTCTTTATTGTGCACTGGAGGGTTGACGCCTTTTGTGTCTCCCTTTATTGACGTAGCGAGGACGAAAATTGACGGAAAGGACAAATACTGACAAAAGAATGGTCTATAAGTGGAGATAAATCATTTCTCTGTATTTCTGTAATAAGATTTATTACTGCGGATGTCCTCTTTTTAATGAACAGCAATAAAAAAAAGCCTGCAAGTTTAGCGGTCATTTTCTATACGTTACATGTTGCAATTCTGTAGTTCGACTAAGAGCCACATTTTAAGTAAATAAATAAAAAGGCGAATAAATAAATAAATAAATCAGAAGTTGCATTTGACGTCGATGAAAAGATCTCTGGTGTTTTAACGACGAGTAGAATGGAGAAAGACAAAACCGTCCCTTACGTTCAAACATTTAAGATGGGGCTACCGGTGATATATAATTAAGACTGCAAAACACTTCTTTAATGTTGATACATAATTAGACATCTGACTTGTAGCTACCAAAGGTACCCAATATGTCAGAACTGTGTGTTTACGGGTGAATATTATATGGGGAATTTCCAAACAAAACAAACAAAGGTAAACTGTAGATAATTTGATTTGATTGATTTTGATAACGTTACATATGTGAATATGTGTTGATCATATATTCTTTTGCCATGACTGTACATGATATGCACTACATTTTGTCAAGATGTATATATATTTATGACTGTGTGTTGACTGCACGGAACGTTCATTAGACAAACATTAGAAGTAGTTCACTAAAGAGATACGCCTTGAGTTCACAACTGGAGTAGCTTATACTGGAAATGGTACAAATGACGTCGACATACAACCAGATTAGGTTGAAAGAAATTATGATTCCTGGATTTGATTGGTGACCCTATGTGTAATATGGTCGTCTGGCGATCTGATTTTGAACCTATAATTAGCGACAGGTGTAAAAACAGGTAAAAACTGTTCACCAACAGTGGTTGGTAGCTGTATTTGAGCCACTACATATTATGTGTTGTAATTACGTCTTACCAAGGCACACGTTCATCACATACAACTCAACTTTTCTTCCTTGTTCTGATTCAGAGGTTGAATTCTTCAATCTGAAATATTTTTAAGATTAAAGAGATGAAACATGCTAGTAACCCTACAACATTTACTTGTTGACAACAATAATAATGATCAGCGATTCTGAATTGCGTAACTTTGAATGCTTTGGCTTGTTATGTTGAGTTTGGATAATGGATATCTAACGTTCAATTGCTTTCAATGGCTAATCACAACAGCAAGTGGAAGTAGCGTACACGGTTGACATTTAACTTAATACTTAATTTTGGTGTCAAAGTTGTGCGATAGTGTTAGAGTATTCCGATCTATCAGCAGCATGGATTTTCAGAATAACAATATGTTAAGACAATGAATTGGCTTTCTTTAATTGTTACAATAATTTATCACAATAATTTATCAGATGTACAAGATTGGGTAAGAGGGGGGGGGGGGCCAAGTGGGCGTGTTCTTCTAATAACGAAGGCGGAAACCAAGAATTGGTTCTGATAGGGAGTCCTGACTTACTCGTGGTACATACATGTAGGTTCAGTTACAAAGGAGAGGCTATTGTTGTTACAAGAACTACTTACTACCTCCATTACAGCTCAGTGTATTCGAATTTTTCAAAACCCCAAATTTTAAATGCGATACTGAGCGTCACAATTCGCCTCTTTGCCGTGAAAACAGGGCCTGTGTGCAGGGCGCTTATGTAGACAACAGTTGAGGAATCGAGTTCACTTGCGTGCTTTTGCCTTCATCCTATGGATTGTATAGAAACAGTTATCATCCGGTAATGACTGCAACATTTATCACACTTCAAATTGGTTTTCGCCTCCATAGATCTCAATACTTCACTCCCTCTTGTCCTCTCTGTTAATTGAAAAGTCGGCGGAGATCCCGTACTTAACACGCAGGCTAAGGAGAAAAGAGTTCCCGTTGAATAAAACATATTTCGGAGAACAAGGTGCATTTTTATCGATAATAATGGTCCCAGGAGATTTTGATTGTTGAAGGGATTTCTTTAAAATGTATTCATGAGCCTTAACAGTTCTTGGTTATTTGAATTAAGCCATTAAGTTCCAATAAGCAGTGTAGTGTTTGAAGCATTTGGAGTATTGCGTTGTGCCGCGTGCATTGCGTTAGTTGCGAAGATGTTGCGATGACGGGTATGCCGCCATCCTCCCACCCCGGCCAAGAGTTTGCATTGCTACAGGTGAGACATAAAGCGCACTGTCATTGCAGTTTACATTAAATTTCCCTAAGAATTACTTCTCTTAAGCGCCTTGACTTATCAAGATAATGTTGAAGTCGGTGTGACAGGGATGGAAGGCCAGGAATGGAAGTCCGGTGTCCCATATGGTTAGTGCAGGTAAGGGTTAGTCGGAGTATTGGGGTTAGTAGCCTATATAAGACGAATGTCACCTGTACAAAGTAATGGGTAGCGGACTACGGTTCCTAGCGGGCAACCCTTCCTGTCACACCGGTGTTTTTCCTACGTCCTGATATATGTAAAGAAATACATCATTATTGTAATGATATGTGTGTCAGGATGTTTCATATTCATCCTATTGCTTTCGTATCTACAGCATATATGTACCATGTCACCTAATAAGTAATATGTTAAGATAATACATTTGCCATCATAAGTTATGGACGAATTTTTATGAAATTGTCAGGATATGTCAGAAAAGACCGATTAGATTTTTATGACGTTCCATTAATTAATTAATAAATCAAGAATGATAAAAGTTAGATAAGAATGAAACATTAAAATCGCAAGTATCAGCATTCGATAATGCACAGAAGCAAACCATCCATTTTCATGATTTATACAAGAGCTATTACATAAGATAAATGGACAATTTTCATTAACATAGTTCTGTCCATGCTCTCTCTATACTGCGGTAGCGAGTAATGAGCAACCGGTGGTGAGGAGCATTCTCCAGTGACAATTACCTGGTACAGTTCCTCCGTTCTTTATTTACGCAGGGCAATTTCAAGCAAACATATACCAGGTTCGGTCTGTTATTCAAATACATTAGGTAAATTAGGCGAACTTGCAAATAGCGGGAATATTTTATATGACAATTTTGGCTTTACATTTTTGGCCTATGGCTTATTAAAATATATCAGGAGAGACCGGGGCTAGTTGGTCCAGTTACATGTAGACACCTTTGGCTTAGTGGAACCAAATGAGTGTAAGCTAGAGCACCAACTCTATCACTTTACAAGATTATGTGATCAGATATTGTACCTTGTAGGTAATTTTTCGTAAATTGACGAGGGGCCAGCTTACCACCGGGGTCTAAGTGGCCCCGGTATCCCCTAATGTAAATAAACCTTTCTTGACGTCTTTGGGAGATTTCGCTCCCTTCGACTCTTTTTATCACGCAGTTTGAGTAATACAATGACAGTCAGCAAAGTAACATATTATGATTTACTCACTATACTATAAAAAACCAGTGTTATTGTGTTAAAAGGGTAATAAAAGTATAGTTCGCTTGTCAGTGCTAAGTACGAAATAAGACAGATCATCATGGTGATATTCTAATCGGTGATTAGCGAAGTACTTTACCTGCTTTTCCCTCATATTCTCCCTAATTTTCTGAGTAAACCTAATTATTAAATGGATTTCATATTAATTGCATTAACCTCGCTGTGACCTTGACTACAAGCCAAGGTCACCGCTGATATGTTTTGCAATTGTGAACGCATCAACTGAGCAANTCAAGTTAGCTCTGAAGCTCAGGGTGCTGAGCAAGGACACATTTACTGTACTTTTGTTTTATTAATCTTAATACAGAGAAGGCCCACGTTCCCTGAAATGAAGAAAGGTTTACCCACTCACGCTTTGAACAGCGCATTGCCGATTATTTATTTCCAGCCGGCAGGCTGTGTGCTGCAAACTCCATCTTTGATAATAGAAAATAATAATAACAAAACGAGGTTCCGTCAAACTGCTCTGAAACTTGGGTATATATGTATCTCATGTAACGCCTGATTTGTCTCATTTTTTCAACGGGTTTAGCTGATAAACACATTTAACTCCTAAGCGTTAAACCTGGATATTTTTGGCAATATGACGCGTGTCGGGAAGACATGAAATTTATTGAATCAAGCAAATACATATTATTAATGCAATATAATAAATAAAAAAGGGAGAGTTCACTTCTTATATACCGCACTACTGACGCGTCTCAGCGCAGTTTACGGACACCTGGTCATTTTTTGGCCCTGATACAATCTGGGTGTCGACGCTACTGCCTCCTTGGGGAGGATATAGCCCGGCATGCCGTATGAAGCGCTGAAAGCTAGCAAACGAAAATATCTGTCTCTGCCAGACCAGGAGCTTTATCCCTGCTTTAACCCCTTAGTGCTGGGTGCCAAGCACAACAGGTATCGTTTATGATATTAAAAATAGTAATCTTTATACGCTCTGGCCCATTTTTACAAAAGTTTATGACTAAACAAATACATAAGTAGCGTAATGAAAAATGTAAAAAGCTGGTGTATACAGGCAGTAAACGTGATGAATTTACACAGATGAAAGCTAAGCTACATGACTCACTGGCTATGCTATTAATATTAATACCTGAATTATTACACGTTTCTCTCATAAAGAAGGTTATTTTTTGACCATCTTGCTAGACAACTTAATGTATCATTGTGTCAGACTGTGTTATTTTGTTTTGCCTTGAAAGACTATATAGTATGTCACTAGACGAAGTCGAACACATGTTCTCCAGTTTCGTAGGCGGGCACTCTAATCACTAGTCCATCCGATACTGGCGGATGCTGACGATCACATCTTCAAAAATGAATGGCTTCTCGAGTTTTTGGAAGTGAGGGCTTCTTTTAGGTTATTATTCTTATTCCTGGAGGTTGGGCCCCACTCTTTCCAAAGTCCTATACCCGCCTTTGAATATAGATCTTTTCTACTTACCAATTATCAGTTAGATCAAAAATAAAAAACATAGTTGGAAATATTAAAAAGGAACCAGAATCAAATGCACTTTTATACCATGGTAGACCGCAAACATGCCTAGGCCAAGCCTTGAAGGGATTGTTTGTCATTGTTTGTCATAATTACAGGATTTTGACCCAAGTCACTTAATACTTAATAGACTAGTAACAAGGTATTACAAGGAAGTCCAAGACGTATCGGAGCAGGCTGTTCCACGCGTTTAGCACGTGCCTCCACGCGGACCTATGCCATGTACCATTTACGCAAAATATCATAATTCACTATCTGAGAAGTATCATAATTCAGTGATAAACCTCTAACTTGACTAATTGTCTTTCCCTTTGCCGTAACGTATGCGTAGTTTTTCCGTCCACCCGAAACTAATGTGGAGATGTGGTCCCCCTCATCTAGCTCATCTGTGAAGTCGCCGAGGTAGCGGCCCATGATGCTGTCCGGGTACGCGCTAGTTTGTGCACTGCCATCATCAAGGAATATGATAGAATCGGCTATAGTGATAGCTCTATATAAACATCAATCTCTACACCTTTCTCACTTGTTATTTCAAGTATCAATTTCCTTAAAAGATCTGATGCGTCAGATTGTAAAACGATTCTGACCAAATCATGAGGAAGCATACCTTGAACTATGTCATTGGTTCTACTTTGGAAAAATGGAATCATAGAATTGAGATTCCGATTTTCTAAATTTGATATGTGAGCTGATAGTCCGTGTTTACAGTGGATTTTTTTTTCATTCGTCGTACAATTACTCGACGCAGATTATAATATCTCCTATAATTCACCCCATCCCAAGTTCACCTTCGACTTGCTCTGCGTGATTCTCCAACTGTTTATTAGTTAAATTCGAACCATCTCATAAATCATCAACGCTCTCAAGCTCCGTATTCACTACCTCGCCCTCATAACTCACGCCTTCCCACAAATTAGTTATGAACCCGTCAGACTTTGTGTCACCCATAGTAAAATAGTTTTACAAGATAATGAAAGGAAGGGGTAATTTAAGGGGGGGGGGGGGATTGTCAAGCTCAAGCAATACCCCCTGTGCGTGATATCTATAATAGAAGAAATTTATCCCCTTTTTTCAGACAGCTAAACATTTAGACACGATATAGCGATACTATACGAAAAATAAGTAGACTTGAATTAAATCTTGTACATTGACTGCTTCTGAATATTTAGTAACTTATAATTCATGCGCTCCTACACTGTCCCTCCATGAGCTGTTCTACCACTGAAGACTGCTGCGACGACGTCAACAGGGGCTAGCTGACAGAATGAAGCAGTGAAGGAAAACGCGACGTTTAATTAAGACGTTTAATGAGTGGAATAAAGGGTTTGAAACTTTCGGCCAATGAAAAAAAGGCCCATGTTATTCGGCTCATTGTGCTGTTCGCGGGAAAAAGCAGGGTGACAAGTGTGGGAAAATGTTGTTGATTGTTTCATGTAATGTGGTTTTCTATTGTACTGTTTGTTTTCAGATTCAATATTAAACTACCTGTAAGGGCACTGCGACGACGACAGACGCAAGCGACCTCTATATGTACAGACACATCTGTGTTTGTACATAAAAATAAGGTTTCAAAAACACGTCAATACTCAGTTTACATGGTTTCGAAAACAACAAAGCAACAAGTGTTATGTAAACTGCTCAATAAATATCAGGAACTCAATACAGTCGATCTCATTTCACTTTGACATTTGATAAGCCTTAATAGCCCCCTCACTTTCATTGCTGCAAACGCTGTATTCAAAACCTTTCTGCAAGGTTATCAATCAATTACCGTAAGCATCTCCAAAGTAATATATTTCGTTTTTTAATTATCATTAATTCGTTATTTTGACACGGTACATGAGATATTTAGTGGTACAGCGTCACGGTGATGTATCTTCTGATTAGGATCATGTTATTACGGAAATACTAGCAGCATGTATTCGGGGAATGAGAGAATGGTCTTTGTCTTTGATCTTCTGCCTACGCTAATTATTGTCTGTACTTTATGGTGCGTTGATTTTTTACCCTTTTGAAATGATGTTCTTAGTCTTGTTTATTTTCTTTTTTTTAAAATAAATTCTTGGTTCATTTAAATTTTATATTATATATAATATATTATATATTTTTTTGCATGTATACTCATGTTCATACATGTATGAGGTTTAATAGGAATATGTTACACAAGCTTATGAGTGTATGTGCACATTGCATTTTGATTTTTATTTTCCTTTTTATTAAAAAATAGCCTTTTCTTTCAGTTTCTAGTCGCAAATTTACCTACTTTTTACCTACTCAATTTCCTCCAGTCCGTAAAGCACAAAAAAATTGCAGAAAATACGCTGTGCAAATATCACTTTTCAGGAAATAATTTAACGATATTTGGCATTTCTTTAAGCTATTATATATAAGTAATCAATTTTAAATCAAATTCAGTAGCTGCAGACACTAAGCCAAATTTGTCTCAAAGTACAAAAAGCAAATGGGATGAAATTGAAAGAGTAGAATCCGTTGTCATCAATCTGTTGATTAATTGTAGCCAATGGAAACAGTGCAAGCCATTATCCCCCGTCACAAAATTGATATAAATGTGCTTTTTCAAGTTGATGCGCAGAACCAATAGAATAACTCTGAGTGCACGATTTTCATCTTGCGCAGTGTTGGAGTGCTCTTGCCTTGGCGATAGTCAAACAAAGAACGACACGTCTTCTGGTGATTTCTGTCGTACGTGGCGATAATATTAGCTGGAGAGGCGATTTTCCTGGAGTTGAAATTTGCGGGAAATTAAGACTGATGAAAAGCAAATCACTTCATTGACGAAGAAATAGTCTTGTTGACAGGAACTTCGAGCTCAAGATTGTTAAACACGTGCTGGACCTAGCGCGGTTCACACGCAGCATTTACGTGTTCTCGTTTGGAAGGCACTCACCACGAGAAACAATTTTCACTTCGAGCTTCGGTAGCCATGAGGTGACACACGTCCACTGGCGTTTTCTTTCTTGGAAATTCACCATGAAATTCACCTAGTATTTAACTTTGCAGATTGCTGAATCACCAGATACCTTTTGTATTGTGAATACTTTTCACTCCATGACTGATAATTATTGGAAACCAGTGCAGTAGAAACCTGTGCAGAGGCAATTATCAGAGAACCTTGGGATTAAGAACAGAGAGACGCAGTTTGAGTTTAACTGGATCAATTCAATTCTCAGTATATTAAACCAAGAGGTAGGATTCATCATGGGAAACAACACGCCGATAACAGAAGAGCAATTCAAAATGTTGGTCTCCTTATACCCGGAGTCGTTCCTCGAGCCGCCTCTTGCGGACCATGACCTACTTCGCTTCCGCATTTTGTTCGGCATCATCATGTTCTGTGCGGTCGTCTTCAACATCCTGGTGATAGCGGTGATTCTCAGGAATAAGTCCATGCGGACAGTAACAAACACTTTCTTACTGTCACTGGCCGTCAGCGATCTCCTGATAGCCGCAGTCTGCATGCCTTTTCAATTGTACGAGTTAGCCTACCAGGAATGGAGCCTCGGAGAAGGGCTGTGCAGATTTTACGCTTATTTCCAGGGTGTTCTCATTGTTTCCAGTATTTTGACTCTCTTGATAGTCGCCGTTGACAGGTAATGTTATACTGATTTGTTCACTTTGTTCTGTTAATCTACTTTTTTTATGAAAATTATGTCGGCCGAACAAAATAAAGTCTCAAATTTCAGATTTTAATTTCTCGGAAATTATCCGCTTCATTATCTAATGCAATTTCATTTCATGGAAGACAAATGTTAATACCTCTGGCACATCAAAGGTTTCGCTTAATAATATAGACTGGTAGGGGGTAACTAGATGGGAGTAAGAATTTAAAGTTCGGGACGTTTTTCTTCAGAAATAACGTGATGGGTCCTATGTACGTGTAAACGCTTGTGATGATGTCAATTTGTTCGTTGTCATTATTGTCGGTGTATTTCCATTGTGAAAATATATTATGAAAGGAATGTATATAATAGAAAAATTCAATAGAAAATATTGAGTGTTAATTCACACATTATATTCATTTCCCACACTCAGGTATTACGCCATCTGTCACCCGCTGAAGGCGCGTCACGTTCACACTGTCAACCGCGCGCTTATCATCACCGCTGTCATCTGGGCACTGTCCTTCACTCTCATGACACCGCAACTCATTGTGCAAAAAATCGATTACAAATTGGACAACAAGTTACCCATCAGAGCAAACGTCCCCTACTGTAGGGAATACTTCGAGCACCACTGGGAAATCCTTCTCTACACTTCCTTCACCACTTTCGGTTTCTTTCTCATCCCGCTGATCGGGATCTACGTCTCCTACGGCAGGGTGGCATGGCGCCTGTGGATAAGGAAGCCGGTGGGAGACATGTCGACGATGAGAGCGGATGTTCACATAAAGCAGAAAAAACGTGTGATTAAAATGTTAATTCTTCTAGTGGCTTTCTTTACCGTGTGCTGGACACCTTTCTTCATTAATCACTGGATACTTTCTTTTGTTACACCGGGTAGTCACAGTGATGCCCGCGTATTGGTCGCCTATTTGTCTATGATGGGGTATTTGAACTCGTGCGTAAACCCCATTGTTTACGCTTTCATGAATGACAACTTTAAGGAATATTTCGTGAAGACCTTTTGCGTTTGCCTCCAAAAGAAGACTCACAATCCCTGCACCCCAAAAGACGGAAAGAAACTTCAGGGCGTCACGGCAACGTCAAACAGTGCAGTTTAAGCAGAGGAAAGTGAGCGACCGAACCCCCACGAGTTGGTCTTGAAACGCATGTGAACTTCACTGCTTTGCCATATTATGAAAAGGGATTTCTATGTTTTAACTGGCATTATGAAATTTTGATGGATATGACACAAGCGATATTAGGAAAGAGATTGATCCGCCAGTGTTTTTATCCTGTGACGGGTAACATTTCAGAATAATGATACCAGCCTTTTCTCCTTTTATCATCAAACATTTTGCTGAGCCATGCTGTCAATTGTAAATTTGTATTTGAATTGTATAACACTGGTCATTCATTGGCCTTAAATTAAGTGGGACCAGTGGCATTATTAACGTGTGAAGCCATCAGACAAGTCATTTTTGACAAAATTGTTTAAACTTCTTTAACACATTTATGTTTATTATTCACTTGCTTATAAGATGACATGGTAGGAAAAATACCGTAACCTCTCCCCCTCTTTCATCAATTTCTTTCGCTCACGCGAGATTTATGAATATTTTATTGATTTCGTTTACAATAACTACATTTTTTTGTGAAAATGAAGGTTTTAAGTTTAGCGTGACTGATGAAGTGTATATATTCCATGACAGAACGCCGCGATATTAGCCTCTGTACTTAAGATAACAAGTTCTAGGCGTTTCTATTGTTGTCTTTTTTATGAAAGAAAGGGAAGACAATATTAAGCTGCAGTACATGCAATCATCGTTTCTTAAAAACTTTGTCGTCATAGAGTGGCTATTAGCATTTCGAGTTTGGTAATTTGTTGTCCTCATTGAAAAATACCTTTAATACTAGCAAAACCTCTAGTTCCAAAGCGTTCAAATAAAGCTGACGCACCCGAACTGAATTCTAAGCTACAAAGTGACTGATAAATTATGAACTCAATAATAATTTCTCAACTACCCCAATATACACTTGGCGCTTTCAATGTTTATTTATATTCTAGTAAAGTACATTGTGCAGGAAATGTAAAATTATATTGAACTGCTCTTTGTGATTCGATGTTCATGTTTATATGTGCAAATAAAAAACTGGGTGTTACAAACTCGAATGGTTTTTATTTCCTTTTGATCCCACAAGGTACAAGGAATGAAGCTACTGGGTAATCAAAAGGGAGTTAATGCAAAAAAATACCATCATTCCATATGTCGGTATTCTTTAAAGGTAAACAATCGCCTTCAAAAACCCCAAGGAAATTGCATGTCTGATGGAATATCGACGTTTGTAAATTGTACGTCTTTAAGCGCCGTCTACACAAGCTATTGCATACGAAGAAAGAGGTAAAGGAATATTGCATACACACTTGCACAGTTTATTATAACGCATCCGTAACCATGGAATGTAAATGAACAGATTGTTTTCCTTGCCAATAATATACGCACAAGTCCATGGCGGATCACCTACCCGCTGCAGTACGTAGATATGAAGCAACTAAAAATTGTATTCGAGGACGTGAAAGAGCTGACTTTAATCATGACACTTTTCCAGTGAGCTCTGTTCAGCTGAACCCCGTCCTCTTGTACACTGAAAGACTCTAGGGAGCTCCTTGCTATAAACAGGTTAGACGTCTCTATATTTTATACATGCAGATCTAGTGCTAGTCCGAGTGGTTTTACTTTGATTACTTGCGGAATGTATGACTCTCTGTTCCTCCGTGTCCGAACCCTGAAAGTGAAAGAAAACAGAGGGCGCATCAGTGTAATTTTCCATTGTTTTTTTACGTGACTGATCTTATATATGTATCAATATATATTTTTTTCATGAACACGTGTATTAACACAAGTAAAAAAGAAATAGAATATCATGTATTCAGTTCTGTAATACTTTTAAAACTAAATATAAGATTTTTAAATGGCGCGTCTTTATTGCCATTAAAATCTTCCTTGAAATGGGAAACTAAATACCTTTAGGACCAAATAGAGCTGAATAACAAGGCTTGTTACAGTATGGCTTCCCTTCGTGCTGAAAGAAGAAAGGGATATATGAGCGATGTTATAATGTGTTTTGACTTACTTTATTAACGCTTGCAAAAATGTAATAAATGAAAAAATTGTATATCGAAACACCAAATTTGGGGGGGGGGGCACACTCGGTTGTGTCTAAAATGTTTAAATTGTAATACATAAACTGTTTTGATTAAATACTTCAATAAAAATCCAAGCATAGAGGAATGAATCAGAACAACGATAGGATATGCGTCCCATTCATACCCCCGCTCTCAATAAAGACAAGGAAAATATTTGCAGGTGTATTCTCGTAAAATCTACAAACCTCGGCGTGTGATCCCGGGGTCAGCACCTTCTTGCATTCTGCACATCTTAGGCAGCCACTGTGCCAGTCTTTGCCCAGAGACGTCTTGCGCTCAGCTGGAAAAGAAACACGCATTATAACGCAATGAGTTCAGTAAACATAGCACAACTAACACAATGCGCACTGACATACACTCACTGGATTTTATTTTACCAGCGGGTGCAAATATGACCTTTCGCCATGGGGTCAGGGAGATAATGAAGATGATTCATGTAAAAAGAACATAGAGAAGAATGTGCCAACTGCAGGTGCCCTTCACATGAAAAAAGCGCATGTTTTGCGAGATTGTCAGCCGATCTCCCCATTGTTTGCATTATTTTTGGCATGTAATTACTGATGCGGTCTGGATCAGGTGAAATAAGAGAGTACAGCCAGTACAAGACTGGGAGCATTGCTAGGCTTCCTTACACATAACAGATCTAGAATGAGAGGGGGGCTTATGGGGGGGGGGGGCTTATCGTTTCAGGTCAACTAATGACACTGAAATGGGTCAATGAGTATGACCCGCAACCTGGCAATAACGTGATTTATGCGTTTTCTCGTTGTTGCGCTGTATTTAAAAACACATATATTGTGCTGGGGAGAGCTGCTCTCAACAGCAACAAATAGTGATGCGGTACTTACACATATGTACACTGTACCATCAATTTCAAAGGGGTTCAAAGGCTTTTTATCTAAGTTGGCCTTCACCCCCTTACTTGACCATCGTGCGGAATAGAAAGTAACATAAATAAATATTGACGCAGAAGGGCCGTTCTTTCGGACCCCCTGCACCCACAGAACCCAGTGCCTTACAGAACCCAGTGCCTTACGGGCCTGATCAAACTGATTAAAAAATACTCACCAATAACAGTAATGATCAAAAGAGCGTTATTTACTTTTGCAATGTATTCACGGTAAATATATGTGGGACCTACATACAAGTTAAAAAGATTGAAATGCAGATGCGGTTTAGATATGTGACCTATGAGCGCGATATGTATAGTTTAGCTGCGGGTGTCTATATAAAATGACGATGATTCATAAACCGTTACCATTAAAACTGTATTAACAAAGGTAAAACACGCTCTTCATTCACAGCGAAACTGCTCAGTTGACATCAAAACCATAGTATCACCTCTAAACCATTGTCGTAATAAGTATGAGTTTCTGCCCTTGACATTTAGAAGTAAACAAAATACACTATTATATATGGCCTAGCTGATTCTCGAAGTGCCAAATTCCAACACGTACGTCTAGGACAGTAGACGTCTTTGAAATTGAACTTTTAATGTTGACATCGAGGACAGAAAGGTGGCAATGGCTGGCATTCTGCTCACAGCTGAACTGTATAAGGTCACCGGAATAGCCAGGTGAAGGTGCATGGCTTGTTTACCGAGGGTGTAAAAACTGGGCGTTTCCTTAAAACGCCTCCGCTAAATGCATCAACCTCTTTACGACTGGCATTTTATTCGACATGCTGGTATCCCGGAAACCTTAAAGCAATAATAACTCTTCGTTTCAGCCAAAAAATGAATTTTCCTGGAGTAAACAACAATTTTCCCATACTTACCAATGGTTAATGAATCCATTTTTACATTCAAAGTTAGTCCCTGGTTTTTTTCTAAAAAGTTTGGTTTTTTGCTAAAATCTCTTAAGAGATTTTAACAGAGTATAGACATCAATGGAGGTCACGTGGTCTAAAGACAACTTCAAATATCAGAATAAAAGCTATAACTGCTGTTTTTGTGGTAAAACAGAATATATTATATTTCTATGAGTTATTCACAAGTTTTTTATTGTGAAATATAGGTCTCATACGAAGAGTTATTATCCCTTTAAGGATTGTTTTCCTACCAGTAATTTCGTTTGGGACAGATCTTAGTAGAAAGGTTTCTAAATACATGCCATTGTAACAAATAGTTTCAAATTCGTGGCTTATCTGTAGCTTTCTTTTTAAAACATTTTGTAGACTGAATGTAAATATTAGTAGGCCATTACGCGGTATAAAAATATATCAAAGGTTTTGGCTCTGATTAAGTCTTTCGCTCTCTTTCATCTAATGTTTATCTAAGGTGTAGAAAAAAAGAAAAGAATGTACTATACGCACCAGTTCCGGGTTCTGCGTTATCTTCAAGTCTAACATACTAGGCCTAGCTATGTTTTGGCGACGACAGCTTGCGGCTTAATTACTTAATTATTCTATTAATCCAAAAACACTGCATATACTCTTCTTGCATCCCCGTCAATATAACCTGTTGTTCAGAGCCCTGCAGCATTTTTAATCACCTGATTTTTATGAGAGTTTGAGAGTACAATATATACTATACACCGTGTGATAATATATAACCCGCACATTGCTAGTCTGTTATTACTGCGGCAGTTGTATTGCTAGGGTGAAGTAAGGATACACCTCTCAGTATAAACACAATTATCTCGCCTAAGCCAGATAAGAGAGCTTCAGAGGACTGGTAATTCTCATACAGAATGCTGGTTTAGCTCATGATAATGATTAATATTGGCACCACCCACTTTTATGATTTAATATCTCTTCCTGTATCCACCCGTCTATCTATGTTCAGTAAACAATGCACTGGTTTACTATACTAAAGTGATATATTTTTAATGAATGCTGATGATATCTCTATGACCCATATCAACAATGAAATACTTTAAACTGAAACCTGCCCCGTATATTAACGCATACATTACTATAGTGTCATGTGATTACATTACATATGAAAGAGACTTAATCTAATTTTGATAGTCAATGTCATCATTTACGCTTACATTAAGCAATGCCGTATCATCGAGAAAACACTTACCAAAGTAAACTTCCTTCTGACAAGCTGGACACTTGGGCATGTTGTTTGCTTGAGATGGGTGGTAGTTAATTCTAAGCAGATCCTTACCTACAGTCAGCAATGAGGCTGCAATGAAAAGCCGGTCGCATAAATCTTCCCATTACGTTTTGCACACGGCCCGCTAATGAACTCATGAAATTATGCGCGAACTCTCAGGCAAGCTGGATCATATGGGCGGACTGTGTTTGCTGTAACTGCGTAACTAGGTGTTTCTGTTCCAAAATGCGGTTATCTTACAGGGAAACGGGGCGAACTGATAAGAATTTATATTATCTAACTGTATTCAATAGTTCGGAATCAATTGGAAGTCTAAATATTAAAATAAGAAAAGTGATAAGGGGCAATCACTGGCAGGCTGTAAAAATGAGTTGGCGTTGGTTTTGTTTTTTCTGTTGACCCTATATCAGTGGTATTAAGAACTTACGACAACTTAGGGTCCATCATCAATGAACCACTAATAACTTATATCCCATAATAATAATAATAAGAAGAAGAAGAAGAAGAAGAACACAACAACAACAAGAACTTACAGAACAGCAACAGACATGTACATGTATTATTGTCTCCCTTACCAATTTGTGATTTTTGATTTTGGGGGGAAGTTTTATTCTTTTCTTTGATACGAACGGGGATGGGAAGGTTGAAAAAAGTTATCCCTTTATGCGTCATTAAATTTTGTTATTCATCATTTGTAAGATTTTTACTTGCTCGTTCCCCAACCTTGATGACATTTTTTCACTTTTGCGAGACGGGTTTATTAATTTTTTCGTCATATTTCTAAATACCCGTAATACAAATTTGGAAGTAAACTCTATTAGATATTGCTAAAATATTTGCTTTCCATCGCAAGTGTAATGTTAATAAAAGGTTTTTCTTTAGTATAGACGAGCAGCTAATGGAATATAAAAACATCTCATTTCTATCGGACCAGATTGATCATCAGGCGAGGAATGCTGGCCACCTTCACATAGGAAAATTTTCCAATTTTAAACCGTGAACATTTAATGTGTTACCTGTAGTAATAGTAGGCGTAGGTACGGTTAAAGCAAATATTTGTCTATTTGTTTATGCCACGAAACGGCTATTCTTAGAGAAAAGTCAAGTTTGATAAGCTCATACATGTTGTATGAAAATACCCCCCACATTTTATAGACAAAAATTTCCAGACCCGTCGACGCTACCGGTCTCCTTAAGAATCTCCTCATTTGGGGACATATCTCATGATCCCCCGATTCAAAATAAAAATCTCCCGATTTATCAGAATTTTTCTTTCTCAATTCGCTAGAACGAGTGGTGATAAAATATGTCGCTAGATCTCGTGTTTGGGAGTGATTGCTCAGTGAAATGCACTTGCAATTGGTGAATATATATTCATAACAATATTGTGTCATCAATTATTGCTTTCTCGCTTTAACTGATAGACGTGTAATAGTAATTGCAGTAAATAATGAGGAGGAAATCCCGAAGACAAAACATCATCGGGTCTTAATTTGACTTACTTCCTGAACAGTTTTTGCATGTTTGCAATCTGATATGCCCATATCTAATTATTATAATTGGTGTTTTATGGTTATTGCTGCAAATAGATAGATGTTTTAGCGTCCTCAAAAGACTTGCTGAAACCAGTAGATTGCAACTAACAACCACTGTTAATTGCACAGAGCCACGATCGATATGTAATGGTGTATCTTTTTTTTTCAATATTGTGACGAGTTTTCAGATGGTTAAAAAATTGCAGCACTAACCATAAAACACCAAACGATAATAAGATATGGGCATATCAGATTGCAATCATGCAAAAATTGCACATGGCAACGATTTTCAGCCTCGTGGGAATTTTTCACCGTGATGTTCTTTGTCTTGCTGTCGGTCAACGCAGCAAGTTATTAAAAAACAATTTGACTGAAAATAAACACAATATTGCACCTTCAAGCTTCGTGACACGTTGTCACATCATATACCCCGTATTTGTACAAGCATTCTCTGCTCAAAATTCCAAAAGAAAAAAATATAATCTAACCATGCCGTCTGAAAATCTGCTTTAACTTTGCACTTACGATTCCACTCCCGTTTACTTCTAGTTCGGGGCGCTGAAGGGCCCCCCAAAATTTTGGTATTTTAGAGGACCCACGGTGTCATTTGGTACGGTTTAGAACTATGATTCAGCTAGCCAAAATTCTAATTTCACGAGAGGACCATTGGTGTGACCTTTTCCCTGACACCCCCCTAAATCTGCCACTGCATCGCAGGTGCTCCTATAAAAACACACAAACTACATGTACTGTGACGTGCTGATATGGTAAGTTTTAAATGCAACAAGCACTGGGTCCCTGTATTTAACATGTGCAAAAATGAACTAGTAGGAGCGTGTTTTACTTATTTAGTACGAATACTTAAATAGCAGGCCGTATTGACGATTTCTAACCGTATTTTGCCATTTCAATGATAACAGTTCAATAATATGGGGATGTGCAGGAAAGGGTGCGTATGCAGGAATTTAAAACGTCGAAATAATTTTTCAGCGCCTCAGTTTTATTCAAGCTTTGTAAGTAAACCTTTGCTGTCCTGGCTGTCGTAAGTTGATATATTAATTCGGATAAATTTGGACCATTTAATTCATCAAAAGATCATATCTTTTTATTCCAGGCCTGGGCAGAACCAATTNATTGGTGTTTTATGGTTATTGCTGCAAAAAAGAACGATGTTTTAGCGTCCTCAAAAGGCAACTAACAACCACTGTTAATTGCACAGAGCCACGATCGATATGTAATGGTGTATCTTTTTTTTTCAATATTGTGACGAGTTTTCAGATGGTTAAAAAATTGCAGCACTAACCATAAAACACCAAACGATAATAAGATATGGGCATATCAGATTGCAATCATGCAAAAATTGCACATGGCAACGATTTTCAGCCTCGTGGGAATTTTTCACCGTGATGTTCTTTGTCTTGCTGTCGGTCAACGCAGCAAGTTATTAAAAAACAATTTGACTGAAAATAAACACAATATTGCACCTTCAAGCTTCGTGACACGTTGTCACATCATATACCCCGTATTTGTACAAGCATTCTCTGCTCAAAATTCCAAAAGAAAAAAATATAATCTAACCATGCCGTCTGAAAATCCGCTTTAACTTTGCACTTACGATTCCACTCCCGTTTACTTCTAGTTCGGGGCGCTGAAGGGCCCCCCAAAATTTTGGTATTTTAGAGGACCCACGGTGTCATTTGGTACGGTTTAGAACTATGATTCAGCTAGCCAAAATTCTAATTTCACGAGAGGACCATTGGTGTGACCTTTTCCCTGACACCCCCCTAAATCTGCCACTGCATCGCAGGTGCTCCTATAAAAACACACAAACTACATGTACCGTGACGTGCTGATATGGTAAGTTTTAAATGCAACAAGCACTGGGTCCCTGTATTTAACATGTGCAAAAATGAACTAGTAGGAGCGTGTTTTACTTATTTAGTACGAATACTTAAATAGCAGGCCGTATTGACGATTTCTAACCGTATTTTGCCATTTCAATGATAACAGTTCAATAATATGGGGATGTGCAGGAAAGGGTGCGTATGCAGGAATTTAAAACGTCGAAATAATTTTTCAGCGCCTCAGTTTTATTCAAGCTTTGTAAGTAAACCTTTGCTGTCCTGGCTGTCGTAAGTTGATATATTAATTCGGATAAATTTGGACCATTTAATTCATCAAAAGATCATATCTTTTTATTCCAGGCCTGGGCAGAACCAATTTGTTTTATCAAGACTACGTCCGAACGTAAATCATAATAAATCGCCATTGATTAGATGGTCTTTTCATGCGTGAAGACATACGCCAGCATACGGTGTGAAATGAAAGCAGTAGCATCACCTCATTAACATTATTCGTTATTTTAGGTTGAGGATGGACCGAAGAGCTAGGCCCTATTAACGTAATTAATGACCGTTATGCACTTAACATTGTTGTTTTGATCATGTATAACGTTAACCAATCGTATAGCACTGCTTAGAATATTATTTTATATTTTAAATTTATTTTCCATACGCTTGTCTACTTTAAAGGAATGAGCTTAGAAGATTTAACGTTCGTAGACCGGCTGGTAGATGCTGATAAATTTGTCAGAACGTATAAACCTTGGCTGTGGTCTGTCTTGGCCCTATCATTTCCCACCCTCCAAACAAACGAGAAATGCACACATTTGCTCCTTGATCGTAGGGATGTGGGATTTTGACCCTGTTGGGATATTTTTGGTCACATCAGGTAGTAGAGGAGACCAGTTATTGTTCAGATATCCTTTTGAAGCAGACGGCGGAGTTGGTTTAAAGGGAAAATCGGGTAAGAGAAGCGATTAAATGCAGTAGGAAAAATGGCGTTGTCAGGAGACTTTAAAAACACCGAAGTGAAGTGAAAAGATTTTATGCTTTTTCACCAAGCTGTTATGCCGACCTTCATTTGAACACTCCTTGCGCGAAGTGTTTATGTTTCTACCTCATTAGACAATGTTTAAAGTTTATGTATATTCCGTACAGACAATATATATCCATAATTTATAACTAACCTTTTGAAAAATCTTTCCAGCATTTCACACAAACCCTTACGCTATTAGAATTGCAGAGGACCCAAAACCTAGGTAATTTTATTTCATCTTATTTCATATTAATGATGTTATACCAAATACTAATCTTAACAACAGCAGTAATACATATCAATTTAAGAGAGGGAATGCAGTTCTAATAATTATTTAAAGTCTTATTTTAGTGATATTTTTTCTAATTGCCCACTTCCAGGAATTCCCCCCAGCCTTGCATAAAGAATGGAGTCCTTGTAGGGTAGGTTACTAAAGAAGCATCACATAAAATATCTTTCTTACAGGCTTGTTTTATAACTTACTGATGAAATACTTATAATAATTGTAATGATCTATTGAAAAAAAAATTAATATAATATCCTTAATGAGCTTCAAACCATGATGTTTCATGAAGTTCGTTTTCTACAAATATTCAGATATTTTTGAAAATGTTTAACACATTTCGTCTTAACCATTCTAAAGAAATCATGCGTTTCAGTGGACCATGACGTGTGCAGATACCATTAGTATTATCATACAACTTAACGATGACAACTTTACAGTGGTGTGGTATCTTAAAGCTAGAACAAAAATCCTTTCCCATTTAAATCAATATAAATTTTGTGGAATATCCTATTTGCCTATTACATTGATATAGACATTTAATTGTTTGATACAAAAACTATGTTAGAGTGAATAGAGAATAACGCTATTCCCAATTTCCTGCATCTGTGCCATTCATTCAAAATAGTATATTGTTTTTACAGTTATTCCAATGAACTTCTTGCCTATTTACTGGCAGTCAAGTCTGATCTGTGTGGACAGAAGTTTGATCTGACAATTGATGATGTCAGGTTTGTTGGCTACCCCGTCCTTCTTCAGAGGATCTCACAGTCCACGCCGCGCCGTGAGCTCCCAACCATGATTTCCTTTCATGTTGTGATTGCAGTGAGAGTAAGTTATCAATTCTTGCCTCCTCTCTGTATTTGCTTGTATTCAAAACATTTAAATTTCAATCATTTTAATGTAGGCTTTTTGTAATTGTTATTATATGGTAAGCAATTTGATATGCTTATTACGATATAGCATGTGAAACCAAAAGAGCCATGATTAAGATGCAACATGTTGAAGAGCTGAAAACTAAGTTTTATCTTGAATTATGTTTAACATTTTTGTTGGGGACTTATCACCCTATAAATACATACCTTAAGAATCTTTTCTTAGTGCTCTTGTGCATCTTTTGTATTGCAATATTTCTTTCTGGTATTTCTATGTCATGATGGATATTACAATTCATGTGTTTCAGGCACAAGTCAAGAACTCAGTGGTGGCAGCTTACCATGAACTGACCCAGAAGCTGGCCCTCTCCTTCCACCATGAAGAACAGCGCTGTGGCTACCTGAACACACAGAAAAACCTGATGCAAGGAATACAGGAAGAGGTCACAACTCTGCCAGAGGGTAGGACCTCATTTTATAAAATTATGCCCAACTTTTTATCTAGAAATTCTTTCTTAAAGTCTGAAGATATCCAAAAAGAAAAAGAAAACCAATCTTTACTGTACATCTTATGTTAACTCAAGAATTACATAATTTACACTGATGGGAAATCAAGTGACAAAAAGATTCACATAACAAGATGGGAAATCAAGTGACAAAAAGATTCACATAACAAGATGGGAAATCAAGTGACAAAAAGATTCACATAACAAGATGGGAAATCAAGTGACAAAAAGATTCACATAACAAGATGTGTACAAATTACAGGTATCATGATATCTTTGATGTTAGCCATTTTAGTCAAATCATTGTCCAGAACAGATCCAACCCATCATTGTGTGAATTTTTTCTGACTATTTCCAAACTCTTTAAGACAGGCCTGTATACTAGTCATAATTATGTATACATCTTAATTAAACTTTTCTTGTTTACTACTTGAGTAGTGTCAGGTATAAAATGCTTTATTTTTTAATTTCAGATTCTTATGAGAACCCGTTCAAATTAATGGTAGCCAAGGGGAGCAAATGCGAACTGTCTAAAGACCTCAAAGCTGTATATGACAAGTAGGCTCTGCAGACATATTGGCCTCATACTTAATTGAAATGAGGCCGTGTGGAGTTTTAGGGATATTCATAAGATTTTTTCCAGATGGGACTCATTAGTTTTGAGTGAAACAAACCATCACAATAATTTTCATCTCTTCTCACAGTTTATTAATTTAAAAATGTTGTCTATCTTTTAAAAATTACTGTAAACATAGAATTTGCTCCCTGTTAAACCTGCATGTTTCATTTCAGAATAAGTCCTAATATGCACAATAACATGTGAATATTAATTGATATACACTTTAACCTTTGTCCTACATTCCTTCTGTTCAGTCTGGGCAACTCTGGCATTGTGAGTCTGTATGTCAACAAGTGGATATATGTCAGCTTTTGTTTACCTCACAAGGTGCACAACATTTTACAGCCTGAGCTGAAAATAGAGGTAAACCTCATTGTTAAAAAGAGATGAAATAGGGAATGATGTACATAAAAGATAACTTACTTAAAGCTGTATTATTTTTTAAAAGTTGTGAGTAATCTAGTGCATTGTAAGATGTTATCATAGTCAGTTTTTGCTGTAATACGAAAGATCTAGGATGCTCTCTTTTAGGAAAAAAAGTAAGCTTAAAAGTAAATTCTTTGGATCTGGAGTGAGTGGCATTAACATAGATGCATTATTTCCAGTTGAAGTTTATTTTTAACTGTTAAGCCCATGCATTTCTTCTAACTTTTGGTTTATGGTTATAGCTTTGATTTTTTTTTTTGCAGCCTGAAGCCATTCAAAAGTGCATTGAAGCTCTAAGGCAAGTAGAGTGGTTCACTAGAAACCTGATGTTGAAGCAAAATACCTTTTTGTATCCACTAAAAAGATTTGTAGAATTTTATCTACATTGAATTTAATTTGTTTGTCTTGTTGCAAAGAAAATATTTTGTGATCCTTTAAGCTATTTCACATTAAAAAACTAAATTCATAATATCCGTTTTGAGCATTTTCATGTCACTTTATTTTTTTGAAGAATTTTGACTGCTGTATTTCTGTTGTAAAGGAGTAAGTGACACAGTTTTGTTAATTTATGAAATGTTAATTTGTCTGTATTCTAAACAAAACATATACTACACAAGTTGGCAAACCACTCATCTCTATCTTTACTTAACCCAGGCCTTATCACGGATTACTTCTTATGGTGCCAGAGAGACAGTTACTAGAATCTTTACCTCCAGACTGCAGTCCAGCAATGGTCAGGTTTATAAAGGCTGTGTCTCCGTTGAAGCGGCTACAGACGCTGGCAGCAGATGCTGATCTGCCGCTTGGACAGGTAGACTCTCATAAATTGTCTTGTTTTCTTATATATAGTATGTGGATTAAATGTAAGATGTCTTTAACCTGTTGCATTAGCTTCTCAACAATATAAACAGCTTTGTTGTATTAAGCTGAATGTTTATTTCTTCTATTTTGTCCAGTGTATATTTATTGAGTTATTATGTACATTTGGTAGGTATTTAGTGAACTTTAAAGGACTTTTTGAAGAGTATAGTTTTCACAATTTAGAACAACTGCAGTAAATTAATTTCTTTACTGGAGCATTTTCAGTATATTCTCCTTACTTGAGTTATTGTTTTGAGAATTTGATATTTACTTTAAAGCCTTAAGGAATCATGTGGAAGCAAGTTTTTCTGAAATCCTTTTGATAGAAGTTGGCACCAAGTGCTGACTGAAGTATTTTGTTTCATGTACGAAGCCAGGGGTATTCAATGAACCACCTGTTCGGTTAGGGAAAAGGTCCTTTCTGGGTAAAATTTGAGCTAGGTACATGGGTGAAAGGTCCACTTTTTAAAAAAAAAAGACCCCCTTTGAAATTGTTGGCTATGGGCCCTTTTAATGTGTTCCAGGTGTTCCACCTGTCCAGTCATCTTGTGTATTGGGCNATCATGGGGCTCCCACAACAACTGGTAGGTTTAGGTGGGAGAACACAGGGATATCATGGGGCTTCCGCAACAATAGGTAGGTTTAGGTGAGAGAACACAGGGATATCATGGAGCTTCCACAACAACAGGTAGGTTTAGGAGGGAGAACACAGGGATATCATGGGGCTTCCACAACAACAGGTAGGTTTAGGTGGAAGAACATAGGGATATCACAACAACAGGTATCTTTTCTTCTCTGTCACACAACTGCCCCTTATACCACGAGGAAAATATGAAGGTTTTTTAAGAGTTACAGTATGCAATTACATAAATAATAAAATGTTTGAAACCTGTGCTCAGACCCAGAAGTTGGGAGAATATTCATATATTAGTGGACCATTTAACATGTTAAATGAAGATCAGTTAGAGTTGTACACTTGACAGTGCTCTCTGGTTGTTTTACGCAGACAAAGTGATGGTGTTGTTACATGTCACCTTCCAGGCACAGCAAGTTCAAATGGTGGTTTGGATGCTTCAGAGACGTCTCCTCACACAGCTACACACTTACGTATTTCTGGTGCTGACATCTAGTGAGAAGAACCAGACCATATATTATCGTACTCACTCCACGTCCGTTTCAGAAGACATGCCATTTATATCAGATACAGGATCAGGTTGGTTTGCTTTTTTGTCAAGAAGATGGTAATTTATTTAATGTGTAGATAAAGTGCCTATATACACACACAACTTAAAATAAAAGTAAGTTGTGGACTTGAGACTTCCAAAGTTTGTTTCATCTGTTTTGCGCCAGTGATTGTCTAACTTTTGATAAAGCAGGAATGGTTTGCATTCATGTCATAAAAAAACATTTCAATCACATAATTAAACAAATAATCAAAATTACAAGAGACGTATTTAGATTTTGCTTTCTTACGTTAATAGTTCTTACAGTCCAAATGAAAGTAGATATCATAAAATTAATATGCAGATAGATGAAAAGCCCCTACAATTAATCAGAACTGCTAACAGTTGTTTCAGGCACCAGTGACGGCAGTCCCAGAACCAGTTCTTTTGCTAAATCCCCGTCAGAAAATGCACGCGAGGAAATCCTACGCAGACTCCCGCAGTCTCTGCACATGAATTCTGTGAACAGAGAAGCCATCTGCGCTGTCCCTGCAGCTAATAACTTAGAGGACTTGAAAATGTTTGTTAGGTAAAAGATGGGTTTATACTTTTTCATAATAAAGAACAGACTTTTAAATTAAAATATTTTGGTATGATTTAAAAATCACTCTCAAGGTAGCACAAAACTAAAAAAGAAAATAAATAAATAAAAAAATTTAAGCCTTGAACATTATCTGTTATGATCATTTATGCAGAATTTTTTATTTTATATCCCTAAGCATTTTAGGTTTTCAACTTGTCCACTGAAAACTTTTTATATTTAATATATTAAAAAGATATTTTTCTTTTTGTTTCCAGGTTGTGTCCATATTTTAATGGCCAGTTTCACTTGGAGGAAATCATGTACCATGAGAATCTACGAAGGTCCCAGTTACTGACTCTGATTGATAAATTCAGAAGTATCCTTGTGACATGTACTCATCCTGACCCAGCAACCTCATTTCATGGTAAATGAAACGGCTGATATCTGATTGGTCTATTTAGATGACAGTGACAATTTCCAAGGAATGGAAAAAAGAAATGAATGAACAAATGAGGAATTCAGTGAGAATGCACAAAATTAGGATTGAAAGTGCACAAAGTTGTGTTTGGTGCCTGCGTCTTTATTTTCTGCCATGGGACAGTGAACAGTGAAATGATGACAGAAGAAATAGGCGCCATACTAGTACTCATAGAGTTAAATTAGAAAAACTGCTGAACAAGGTTTTCAGGAGAGAAATGGACAGCAACTTGAAAGAACAGAGCACTGGTGCTCACATGACAAACAGATTTTGAATTGCCATCATGACAGATATTAATTCAAAATACATTTCCTTGATATTAACTTTGTTTTATTTACTTCAGTATTAGTTACCATTGCTGACCTATGACTTCAGTTAATTTCCATCATGGGCATTGTTTACTGATCAAACAGATTATAATTGTTAAACATTGAGTAGATTAGGTGATTAGATCACATTCAACAATGGGCAGTCATCATTGACTTACACTCTAGTTTTCAGACATAACTGAAACAATACAGTTACTTACACATATAACTGTGCTGTGATCATGAAGATTTTTTACAAGCTGCAATAGTGTAAAACCACATTGGTAATCATAAATAAAAAATATTCAAGTTTTATGATAATTACCCAGGGTCTTTTTTAATAAAATCTAAAATATAGTATTATTTTTCTAACTAAAATTGTTAATATGTCTTCCAGTGTCCATAGACTGAATTTTTCATATTCGGAAAAAAATACCAAATGCAATTTTGGAAATCCATCTAGAATATTTGGCATCATCATGACTGATCATTTTTTGCTTCTGCCTTCTTGTCTCTTCTGCTTACACAATCACTGTTACGCACATAAAACCTGTATGGTTTAGATGCACTTTCAGGTCCTGCAGATTCAATCCCAATTCGTGTAGATACAATGATTTCTTCCTCTTGAACAGGTGCTCCTTTCTCTAGCCATATACAGCCACTAGTCACCAAGTCTTGTGTATTGATGCTGTCTTTGTCTATGTGTAAGGCTTGGCAGAGTTTAGATGGTCCATTGCACAAGTCTTTGATTTTTAACCCCTTTCCTTCATCTTGTCTCCTGGTGCTGCGAGCCCCACGCATGATGTCCTGGTTTTCTAGCGGTTCCAATGCCCTGAGGAGAACACAAGAACCTGTGCCTGAAATGGAATACACTTTAAATTATCATAACTTACATATATCAAATTGTACATAACATCATTACATTCAGTTTCTATTACATTACATTCAGAAGTAATTAGATGCCCAACCAAGGTATCTTATGTTTTCAGCTGTTCTTCAAATTAAATTGACAGTTTTATTAGTCAACATAAATATTCATGCATTTAATAGAAAGTTCATACCGGGTAGGTCCTAAAAGAATTTAAATATATTGCCATGGGAGACAATTCCTTTCTTACTTATTTTTCCATAATGTCTGCTTTTGAAATTCAATATTCTGACCAATAAGTCAAAGGGCTCATTCCCACTGTACTACATAGACTGATCCAACTCAGCAGGGACTCATGCTGAATGCAATCAGATTAACAATATAACACGCCTTCTCTTCTTTCCAAGGTACTCGTGTAATCACCACCTTGTCTCTATTCTACTCTACAATAGGAAACATATTGCATTCAGAGAGAATCCCTGTGGAGTTGGACCAATCAATGTACATATGGAACAATATAGTTTCAATGAGCCCAGATATTATAATATTAAATTAATAATAATAAAAATAATAGTATAATAATAATAATAAAACATCAATAATACAGAACTTTTTGTACCATAAAATTCATTAACCCTGCCTCATGTTTTACCTTGAGAAGAGATGTTCATACAGCAGTACATGCCATAGATGTTGTAGACATATGCTGTCCCTGGCTGCATAAACATTGCCCCATTTCTCCCTGTGGGCCCCTTGTATGAGTGAGAGGCAGAATCCGCACTCCCCAAATAAGCCTCTGTTTCAACGATTCTTCCACTCAGTCGTTCCCCATTTGGTAGTTTCCGCACTAGCACCTGCCCCAGAAGTGCCTTTGACAGTTCAAGACATGGTAGCTCAAAAAATGCCCTTAAATGTTTTGTGCCACTTGCCATGGTGGGGTTGTTTAATGGCTTTTCTGACCTTGATTCGTGAGATTCTCTGAAGTACTTGCTAGCTACTTCGTCTTTATTTTTACTAGGTTTTTTGTTTGATGCTTTTCGTTTACTGGTTGTTTTCTGATCCATATCTTGGGCTAAGTTTGACTTTGACAATTACTGAGAGGAAATAACCTGGTATTATCACTATGCACGTGTATTCAGCTGCTGTTTTTTACGTTAGTGTATAGTGCAGATTTAACAGCGCTACAAATACCGGTATGCCGTATGCAGGTGTAAACTGTGACTTATTATCCTCAGGATATTATTATGTTAAAAAAAAGCTTATTTACTTTCCCGATGCTGTTTATTCGCTGCTAGAAAGGCACTCGCTGGGATAATTAATGTTGATAACACCTGTATTTCCTGGTTTTCATTCAGACTCCAATGCGGTATTTGTTCAATATAGTTATATTCGTTTTGTTTATAAACGAACAAAACTAAATAGTCAAAATACATTTTTTTAGATTTGTGTTTTCGGTCTCAGGATAAAGGCATAACTTACAAAAAATAAACTCAATCAAATGAGAATTTACAATAAATGCGAATGCGCATCTGTGTTAAAGATTGGGCTCAGATTGGAGTATGCGCAGTCGAGACATTTACCTCACTTCCGCTTCCTATTTTTCAAAGCAAGCTTTCCCGGCTGGGTTTTGCATTAAAGATAAAACTGATGACGGAAATAATTTTGTACTAAAAAAATAGGTAAGTCAATCTTGATGATAATTAAGTAAATTTCAAGACAAGAAACAGTACCAGAATGTCAATAAAACCATTGGATCATATTTTACATCGCTGGAATTTGCTTTCAAGTTCGGTGTGGAGATTCCCCTTGTCTGGGCTTGTTGGTTATGCTTGGTGACAAATGGTGTTACTGTCATTGTTACAGTTGTACAAAGAACGAAAGAAAAACTTTGATGATAAGCTTTACCTAAACGGAATAATATTTAAAAACCAGGTGTATCCCCAACAGTAATTTTTGGTGCGTGAATTACCTTGAAGTGATGCGCATATGTATTTCAATATGTTATAACTTGTCTAAAATTTTTTACCGTCATCACGATCAGAAAGTGAAAGTTGTCAAAGCATGTGTAATTTATACATCGTGGAATGAGTTGTGGATATTAATAGACCAAACATCTAGTATATGCCATATATATGTTGTATGGCAGAACTGACAGCACTATTTTGAAAATGTGTCAGAGATCTAACGTGGCTACAATCTTTTTTTGTTTGACCATTTGACTGGAACAAAATTTTCTGAAGTGAGCCCATTTAATATTCTAATACAAGCCTTTTCTTTCACCCTGAAAATCATATGTGAAATCTGATTGTATCTTTTATCAACACATCTACAGAGCAATCAGCATGGCAAGCACACAGCACGCGTTCCAGCCCCAGCACAGTGTAGTGTCGGCCCCAGCAGCCACGGGGCGACCCAAACTGAACAGGATGCAATCACTGCAGAGAATGAGAAGGTTTGGAGCTCTTTTTCTTGTGATATTTAAGATAGAATTTGTAATGGGTAAATGTCATGGAGCACGTGCTCATTTCAGTAAAATTTTGATGGTTTTTTACCTAATAGACATTATCTGGGTATAGACCATGGGGTAATAATTTCTAACCATGTTTCAGTGCACTTAATGTCATAGTTATGATGGACAGAACAAAAGAGGAATTTTAAGTTGGCTTCCTTTTATAAGAAATAGTTTGCTGAGATGGTACAGTAATAGTCTTACAACTTGGCTGAGAATACAGCACAAACATGATTTTATTGTTCCTGTCTTTATTTAATTCAGCTAATTCCAATGGCAAGATTCAGCACCATAAGTGATAATACATTATAATATTAATCATAATCAACATTGAATTTATTTATTAATGATTTTTTTTTAATTTTAGTCGACTGGCATCAGGCACTAAAGAATTCCTAGGCCTAGATGAACAGCAGAAACCTACGGAGCAGGACAAATGGACGCAGCGCAGGTTGCGGCTTCTAAGTAGGTCACTAGTGGGTAACGTGAAGAAAGAGTGCCTGCAGAAGAAATACGGAGACGAGACTGACAGTGTGTTCATGCCAAACGTTGTTGATCCATTAGCAAAGAGAGGTCACTTTACGGGATTTGACATGACAGACGGAGGGTCGATGAGAACGACGCCCATGTCCAGCACCAGCACATACTATCGCAGACGCATGATGGGGCCTCGTAAACGAGGGAGAAAAGACTCTGTGATGAAGATGGCATGGGATGGAGTCAATCAGCTGGTGGTGAGAGAAAAGTTGATATTGCTTAGGATACAATTGTTTAAAATCCATTTCTCAATGAAATATAATGCTGTAGTGTATTGCAAAACATAACTTAATAGTATACATAGTAAATGCAGCCTGCATCAGTTTGTTTTTGACCTGTTGGACCTCCAGGACACCAGGGTCTAAGAATCTGCTGACCAAAGCAGAAATAGAGGACAGAAACAGAGCCATAATTATGAAAATATTTCAAAGAACCTACTACAAATATTTCAGTGGACAGTTAAAATCTTTGTGACAATTGACTTCCACTCATGTGTTACAGGGTAGAAAGCCGTCAAGAAAATCTCGACAGTGGAGTCGAAGTTTTGCACCTGCCAGCATCACATCAGACGATATGGATGCTTTATCTTTCGTGAGTAATTAAAATGAATACTTGTAATACAATGTATTGTATTTCATTTTTGTGGTTGTAGTTAATTTGAAAAACATTCAAATTTCTGTAAAATTGTGCTGAAATATTTTTTAAATATTTTTGCTTGTAAATGGTATTTATGTCTTTGCACACAGTTTGTCTACTTTAAAACAACCATTTTTCTTGCTACAGATAGTCACATGATTGTAAAAATGCACAAATAAAATTTGAACACATTTGCATTTTGAAAAAAAAATGTGATCATACAAATCCTTGGTTTAATGTACAATTAGTAATGAGATATAAATTACTGTTTAGACCCCCCAGGAAGCTGTGATAGAAGAAGAAGACATGTCCTTGGTCGATGACGTCTTCTTTGACATCAAGAGTCCCACATTCTCCATGTCTGCCCCAGATTTTATGAAGAAGACAGAACTGGAGACTGTCCCTGAAGCCAGAGATGAGGTGGACGTAGGAAGGTCCACTCCTAAAATTGTGTAAGAGGAAGTTAAAACCTTTCTTGTTTAGTGTTGTTTGACAGTTGGTACATGCAGTGATATGTAGATATGTATAAATGTTGAACTATTATTTGTAAATGTATTTATTCTGCATTGGCATCGTTCAGACTTTTTCTTTGCAAATATAAGAGGTATAAGAGATGGGGTATCAGATATGCCAGGTTGTGGTTAAACAGTGTATAACTATAATCAACTAATATATGCACATACATGTTTCAAAATTCATGCCAGCTGTCAAAAAAAAAAAAAAAAGAAAAAAAAAACCTCATCATTAGTAAACAGTAAAAAAGTAATTAAAACAAGTTGCATTTCATTGTCACTGAACTATAAATTAACTTAAAGAACAACATTTTTCCATTCTTATTTTGACACACTGCATATTTTTCTTGAACTAGAAAAACACTGATGAAATATTTTTAAAATAATTGCAGTCCAGGTCAGTGGCATGCTGGTCATCATCCCCGCCAGGGTCTACCCTCCACCCCAGGGACGGCAGCGGTTGCTGTCCATCCCCTCAGTGGCGTTGGCATGCGGAGGATTGTGGGTGGGGTTATGGAGAGAGCCTTGGATAACTCTGATCGCAGGCGTGTGGGAATGGGGATCATTGGACGCATTTTCAAGCGTAGCTTCAAGAGAGGTGGAGTGGATGAAGATGTCAGGGAACAAATAGATAAAATGCATGATCATAGGTAATTTTAGTTTATGTATTTTATAAGTGGGAATTTTTTTATGATTTTATTTATTACAAAAACTTAAATAGTGATTGATGTTTATAAAAAATTCCTTTAATTAGTCCACTGCTTTTTTTTATTTAGATGTACAATACACACATCTTATATTTGTGCATATAACATGAAATAAAGTTA